ATTGACTTCTCTATGGTTAAAGACTAGACATCTGGTATTAGACCTCATCTATATATACATTTGAAGCAATCTATACAACAACACTTGATGGACAGAGACAGAGAAGAACCCTGGCTAAAGTTCTGTAACATTTCACGCTTGTTCAGATTAGTCATCGGACCTTGATTTCCACGCCATTTCGAGTTGGCATTGTGGCAACACCTGGTCTCTCGTTTTTACTTTCACGCAAGGTTCAAGCATCGTTGAGCGTGACAAAGTCTATTGCTCTTATACTATCTACTAGCCATCTATCATGGCTCATCATCGTTGGTCCAGTGCCGGACACTCAAAAATCACCAATCCTCCTTATTCATGTAAATCGTATCCCACCCCTTCCGAATTAAATCAAAGCCATCCTCTAAGCTGCAAACCATCCTCCACGGATCAAGCAGAGCTAGATCCTGGATCACCTGCGCCGTCGTAAAAAGGGGGTATCGCCAAAAGAGAAGTATAGTAAAACCAGTTCATCCGAGAAGCAGAGTTACTGAAGTGAATATGGATTATTTTCCACGTCGCCGACGTCGTCCCCGTCTCTTTGGAAACGACTCTCTACATGGCAGCAGAGTCGAGTGAAGAGATGTTGACTGAATAAATGTGGTAAAAAGGGCTCCAGCCAGGAGCATGTGCCAGCTGTCGTGGTGAGAAGGGGATATGATCTCAAAGCCATTGAGTGGTTACCAAGCCTGGGAGTGATATCCTCAAGTGAGGAAATTTGGAATTGTGATTTGTATGGCGAAGTGAACAAGCTTGGGAACATCAACGGCTACCCTTCAACACAAGTGACAACTCAAAAGGGTGAACCAAACGCAGCGTAGTCAACGCGCTGGGAACATGCTGCCGGGGAAGAAAGAAACAGCAAGAGTTGAAAGCCCGCATGTTTTGTCAATGGAGCGGGCGTGATGAAGCGTAAGGAAGCAGTCAAGCTATCCAGGAGGCAGAGTCTCAAGACTCGTCAAGGGTGAAGCAGGCAACAAGTGTCGGCCTGCTGTTGGTATCGTGGCGTTTCATCATAAAGAACAGGCCGCGCTAGTGGCCAGGGTATAAAAGGTGAATGGACAAGAAATGGAAGATGGTGGTGGTTGTCGACTTTGATGCAAGTCGACACTCGTGAGATTCTCAAGGAAACCCATTCCATGCAGAACGCGCTTACAGAAGAGCAGCGGCAACCATACCAGCAACACCGACCACAGCGAACTTGCCGACGGCGACAGCAGATCCAGCGTTGCCAGGAACCTCGGAGGGCTCGGACGAACCACCAGTGGTACCAGCTGTGTTAGAGGCCTTAGGGGTAGAGACAGGAGTGGTGTTGTTTTGAGAAACAGGCCAGAAGGTGGTGGTCTCCTCAATGAGAGCCGTGGAAGTAACCTCGACGGAAGTCTCGACAGCAGTGGTGCTCACACCAGTCGCGGTAATCGTATGGATTTGCGAGAGGTAGTAGGTCTTGGTAACGACGGCGGTGGATGTGTGAGTGGTGGTACCCTCGTTAGCGAGAGCGAAGGCAGGCAGAACAGCCAGGATGAACTTGGAGAAATGCATTGTGTTGGTATTGTTTGTTGTGTAAGTGCTTTCAAAGCGTTTGCGGTTGGTGTAAGTGAGTGAGCGAGTTGGAAGTGAGAACAGATGGATGCTCTGTATCCAGACAGCGAGAAGCACAAGCTAATAAGTAAGTAACTTATGTATGTATTCAGCGAAGAAATGTACGAGCGAGATAGACTCTGCCAACGAAGTCTGTGGACCGAGAACAAGTTTGTTTCGAAGCGTAGAAGGGTGGCCTGTCACAATCCGGGGGGAGAGGACTTGAAATACTACGAGGAATCTGAGAGCAGAAGCAAACAACACAGAGAAACAGCAACTCTCAGCTTCTGTAGCCCACACTAGCAGGCACCCTGACTCTAGACCAAGGCCAAGGCCTGGCAATGACAGAGCCAGAGCGCAGGCGACGTTTGGATAGGAGGGGCGGACGCTCGAGCCCATTAAACTGGTACATGTAACACGGACAGACCCCTATTCGTCAGTCATGTCTCAAGTACTTGTGACCTGACCTGGCCTGTCATGCTCCTCGAGGGAAATTACAGCGCATTTTGCTTGACAGCTTCAGGTAGTCTGACCGAGCAGGCCTGTCAATATCTGGTTGCTGAAACTTGGGCCTAGGCCATGTCTACTTATTAGACCCTTTATTCGAATCCCTTGCCATGCAGCCATGGGCCATGGTATTCATCCAGGCTCTCGGCTCTCTAACGCTTTGTGCGGCAGAATTTGATACTCTGGAGGCACAAAGAGGGTTTCACCGAGGATCTGAGACCCTGGTCTCCCGTGTGATGGATGGATGGGAAGAAAACTCTGCATTCTAGGCATCATGCATTGTTCCCGTTGGCTAGCAGCAGAGACAGGCGACGAGGATTGTTGAGTGGCGATGAAATCATTGTGCAGCCCACTCAAATCAAGTCAATGACTGGGAAATGAGGGAATAAGAGAAAAAGACGCTCTGCCCTAAAAAGTCATTAATGGTTTCTGGAGAAAAGGTGGCGCTACTCGTGTAGATAGACTAACAGATGAGCGGTTGAGGAGGCGGGTTAGAATAAGGCGTTTTGGAGGGGATTTGAGTGTTAATTGGTTGTCTGCAGGTCTCTGTCCAATCTAATCAGCCCAATGACCCTGACTTCAAGTGTCGTGCACTATCACAACAGCGAAAAAGTAAAATTAATTTCATCGGTCGTCGGTTGGCTGATTGGCCACGATCAAGAGTCAGGCACACCCGCCGGCCTTGGTTCCTGCATCGTCGGGTTGTGCCTCGCGCCTTACCTGAATTGGTGCCCCCAACACCAAACGACAGCCGCCAAGAGACATCACCGAGACACAAGCTGCGCCGCTACGCAAAAGAACATTGAAAGACCGTCGATCATTCTTCCGTGGAGCGCTACTACAATGAGAATTAGTTAGATGAGTCTAATTTTCCCATGTAATTGCGTTTCTCTCAAGTCTCAATAACAGCTTTGTGTTAGTCATAGCCCCCAACAACGAATTGCACAACCCAAGGTAGCATCCATCAGCTGCATCTCTCCCAACAACAATGCCTTGTGAGGCTGCTTTGTTCTCCATTCCCTATGAATGCTTTGTGCTCTTTTTCTTTTTATGCTCCTCTACCTTTGTCTCCGCTGAACTGAAACCCAACGGTCGTTTAACATTTGGCTGGCGCCATTCTGCCAAAATCCCTGGAGCTGGAAAAATAAGGCACGGTCATTATTTACAAAGAGCCTGGATGTCAGCGCTGATCGGCTACCCGCCCCGGATTTTGGATAACCGCGTGGGTGCTGTGGGTGCCATGTGCTACTGTACGCACTCTATGTATGGTACATCACTACATAACTCTGTAAAGATACGCTCTTCCAATGCCTTGGTTTTGCTTCTACACCGCTGCGCTGTGTTGTTTACACCACATCCAATCGTCACTACCATTGATGATTGACGTGGCCACGCTGTGCGACGCCCACGCAAAAGGATTTTATCCTTTTCTGGTGTAGCGCACTTGTCTCGTCGTCAACTGTCACTGCACCATGCGGGTCGCGTGCTTTGAAGCGGCAGCTTTCCGTTCCTCAATTTCTCGGCTACGACTAAGACCCTGTCTTCATGGTGGTCAGCCCTGCAATGATGAGACTTGGCCGTGGGGAGCAAGAAAACTTAAGACTTTAGAAGAGGGTGCTAAAATAAACTTAGTAAGAAGTACCCTAAGCTTAGGCTAAAAGTACCTAAGCCTTTTTGTCTCTTAACTGCGTTGACGTCGAAGTTTCTCCGTAGCAACGGATATCGACTCCAACTTCGATGCTACCTTAGGCGAACAAGTTTGCCAAGCCCTAGGACGAAGGAACACAGCGGCTTTGCTCACTCAATCGCTTGCATCAAGTGTAAGTTCCAACAAGCCCAAGAGGCTTTGCCCATGCGTATGTACCTTCAGTCATCAATACGAGGTTACGCTGCATATGAACATGTGTCACCACAATGATGATTTGTTGCCTTTGGCCTAAACGTTAGCAGCAAATCAATTTATACCCTCATGATTTTCATGGTGTGAATCCTTAGCTGCATGCCAGCGCATTGAAATCAAGGTCCTGGAAGTAATATAACACCAAACTGCAGCGGTTGATGGCAAACCACAAACAATGCACCTAACGGTCAACAATCTAAATCGGCTGTCACAGACAAGAGCCTCGTTTTATTGCATTTGTCCATAAAAAAGAATAATATGTCCAGCCTTTACGCAAGATTTGCTCAAACTTAGTATCGCAAAGAAATGTAATAATACATTGTAGCTTTTACTTACCCTAAACTAAAGTCTATCGTTATACGCCTGCAAATCGGTATCAAGGAAACCAAACACAGGGATCAATAATCATTCTAATAAGGTGTGGGCTGAAGTAAGGCTTGATAAAACTTTGTTGTATAAATGAGGGAATATTGCTGAGGGACATGGTTTTCAAACAAAAAGTCTGCAATAGTCTTGGTTCTCTCGTGTGCGCTGAGGATTAAATCGTCGGAAGCCAAGCACTCTAACAATTCTAGGCAACACTTACACTCGACTGTATAAGGTATAGAAACTAACCTAATAGTCGTGCTAGTATTGTGTGTATTTCCATTAGGCAGTCTACCATCACTTCAACAGGTACCAATTTAAAACTGTGCTACCCCCAGTGATTGTAAAAGGGAGAATTCATATGTCTTTTAAAACTGCTAAAAAGTGGAGCTCCAGACTTTATCGAAAAGCTAGGTCGTGACGTCGCAATCAACTTCAGCCTGTCCACGATTTCCTACAGCTCAAAATTATCCAGGCGCAGCGCTTTCATTCCCGTCTTTGCATCCAGAAGTAATACAAAGAACCTATTTGAAGAACCGCGCATTGAACTTCACAATAAGCATCGCCTTTGCAAGAATAAAAGCTGTCGCGATATAGCTGCAAGCTCGCAACTATGACAGACTCACCACCAACGGAGCCCCGAGCTCGCTCAAGATCACCCGCTTCCAAGGACAAGGACGATCGCAAAAGTCGCGATGATACATACAGAGAGAATGATGAACGTCGTCAGCGCAGAGATCGCAGCAGGTCGCGCGATCGTAACAACAACCGCGACCGCAGAGATTCGCCTCCACGCAGACCCCGAGATCGATCGCGATCACCAGCGCGAAGACCCAGAGGATCAGGCGGCTTCAAGTGGAAGGGAGAGCGTCGAGATAATGACAGAAACCGCGACTTCCGCAGGCGGTCGCCGCAGCGACATCGGGATCGCGATAACGGCAGGGACCGGAACTATCGCCGAGATGACCGTGATGGAGGACGGGATAGGCAGCGAGATGGCGATCGGGATCAGAGAAGGGAGAGGAAAGAAAAGAAGGAAGAGAAGCCCAAAGCTCCTGTGGCTCAGGCAGGTGAGGAGATGATCATCGTCAACGTCAACGATCGACTTGGTACAAAAGCTGCTGTACCCTGCTTGGAGTCTGATACCGTGGGCCAGTTGAAGATGATGGTCGCCGCCCGAATCGGTCGCGACCCTGGCCAGATTATCTTGAAGCGACAGAGTGAGAGACCATTCAAAGATCACATTACCCTGGGAGATTATGGCATCTCGAACGGCGTGCAACTGGATCTGGAAATTGATACACGGGACTGAAAGGCATGTGGAAGCACTGTTCTATATGGGCTCTGGGAACAAAATTTTCAACGTTTTACTTTTTGTCTGGCGTTATCTGGATTGCACGACTAAAAGAATACATAATCGAGCAGAAACAATTTAGTCTGGGAATACTGGCGTGAGCCATGCCATATAAGAGAAATCTCATGAAGAGGTCGTATCCAAATTCATCGAAATCGGTAAGAAAAAGCGCCTCGTAACCCGCAACACGCCTATTGGCGACTCAGATCTTGTACCAAGATATAAAAGGAGGTCTATCGACCGAAAGAGTAGAAGAACCAACAGAACTGCGATGCCCTCAAAGTATATGATATATATGCTTCAACATCTTTTTTTTTTCTCGGACAACCAAGAAAATAGCCAAGGAGATATCCAACAAAGACAGGAAAGAGAGAACAGGGTCGCTGGAAAACAAACGAATGATGGTCATAAGAATTACTTCGAGCTTTTTCTTCATTTGAACATGGTGTTGGGGTCCCCATCGAATATCCCTGATTGGGTGCTGTAGCCTGAATCTTGCTCAAGAGCACTGCGGAGCAAGGACGATATTTGACCTTCGGGCTTCAGATTCTGAATCTTTTCTTCTGGCTGATGATGGAATTGAGGCTCTACCATCTCGACAGTGACTCGAAGCTCGGGGTTAGACCCCATGTGGTCAAAGTTCATGTTATTGAGATCATCATACGGCCCATCTAGCCACAGTTTCTCCTCGACCTTGGGTGACCGTTGCATGAGCCCCATGGATTCGCCAGCGGTAGATGGCACCCTTGAAGCAGTGGACTGAACCTGGGACACTATATCAGATAGTGACACTATCGCATCTCTATCGTAAAATGGCGTTGTCATGTCCTGGAACAAATTCGGGTCTGCAGTTGCAGCATCGAAACACGCCCCCAAGAGCATTTTATTTCCATCATTATACATAGGCGAATTCATACTTGCTGGTGCTTGCATGCGTGATCCTTGGCGATCGCTCGTAGCCGTTTTGTGCATCAAGAATGGATCAAAAGACTGTTGTGACAAGTTGTTTTGGGTAGATGCAGGTTGAAGCCGGGTTAAATCGCCATCTTGAGAGGGGTCCTGCGAGAATGCCTGCGAAGGAGTTTGTTGGAATGATGGCTGCCAATTCGAGTAGGGGTAAGAAGGGGGAAACACGCTCTGTGTTTGTGTCTGGGCCTGAGGTTGTGGATGTGCTTGTTGCGACTGAAAGCTGTAACCGGGAGATCCACCTTGCAGACCTCCAAAGGAAGTTGCTTGGCTCACTGGCGAGTAGGGAGATTGAGTGACCTCCTGAATCCCGTTTCTTTGCATGGTCTTCACCACACCTGCGACAAGCTCTGGTGGGGTATTATATATCATCAGGGCAATTGGTGGTTGGGCAGGCTGCTGGGCACTTTGTTGCTGCCATGATGAAAGGTGTGGTGGCGCCGCCTGTAGATTAGGTGGGTTTCTCGTAGCCTGCTGAGGAAACTGGTTGGGCCTCTCTGCCCGTGGCCGGTCTTGGGTCGCTGGAGAGAGTGTGGATGTTAAAGGAGCTTTTACTTTGCCCTGTCCATGGGGTGCTTTTGATACAGCCGGACGAAGATCGCGAGTGGGCTGTTCCGTGGCAGGTCGGCGCTGTGTCTGGTTGTTGTTGCTTTGCTGTCTCTGGTTGGTGCGACTGTACTTGTTTGCCACGCTTCGATGGTTCGACTTGCGCGGTGGCATGTTTTTAGGGGGGCCGCTGGGCTTTACGGTAACTGAACAGAAGGTGGTGTATAGAATGTAGACCTTCTTCTCCTTTGGCTGCTCCGCATTGTAATCACATAACGGTTCAGCCATATGATCTTGCATGCCTTTCTTATCAAACGTGCGCCAGCATCGTAAGCAGAGGGCCTTGCCGTAATGTTCTTGATCTGAGAAATCTTGTCCCTGCCACTCGTGCAATGAGTCGCATTTTCCACAGTTTCCTTTCGCTTTGATGAAAGGGTCGAAGGTTTGACAACTTGTTAGGTATTTACGAGCAGTATAGTATGGATCTCTTCCACGAACAAGACCATGATGATCGGCGGCGTGGGTGACGATGTGTGATATTTCATCCTTGCGGCCTGAGCAGGCATGCCTTTCAGGAGATGACAAGCGCTTTGGGTCGAATAGCCAGAAGAAACAGGTCTCGCAAGCGCCTATGAAATCTTCGGGCAGGACCAGATTGTTTGGGCGCCCATGTACTGGACCGCTTTTCCGAACATTGGATGAATTTGAGCCACTGGAAGCTGATAATGGTTGGATATTTCGAGTTTGCCGTTGAGACTCTTGTGTATCCTCAATCGTTTGCAGTGGCACACTTGTGCCTTGCTGGGGGAGTCTGGAAGGACCAGATGATGCTGTAGATGTACAGTGTACCAATTGGTTCTTGTGTCCAGACCTGTATCGCTTTGCGAGTTGATATTTGCCATTCGCTTCATCGTCGGTTGAGCGACTGTTTTGGCGCTTAGGCACCTTCTTTGAGCCTGAAGATGTGTCTGTGCCAGTTACCGACAAAGCTATCTGCTGAGGTATCGAACCACTTGGTTGCTTATAAGTACCACGCGTATGCGGTCCAGATATGGTAGTGGCAGCAGAAGAACCTTGGGGCGTTGCTAAACCCGGAGGTCTTCCTTCATCATGATTACCATTGTCGGTGTATCTTATTTGCCTGTCGGAAGGGGTACCAAATGGCAGAAAAGATTGTGATGAAGGCCTAGGTCTCTGCATCAAACGCTCATCTATGGATGTAACATTGTTCGTCGGGGTGAAGAACCGACTGCCCGGGCCCGTGGTACTGGGCGTACCAATTGCCTGAGTTGATGGCCTGCGGCCTCTTTGAAGCACATCATCGACACGGCCAATAACTCTGTAGTTATCAAGTTGGCGTTGAGGTAGAGATTGGGAAGTGATGAAGGTATTCTGTGATGGCTGAGAGTTTGGTTGATGATGGAGCCAGGTCGCTACTTGGAGACTGCTTCCGCGACGCTGCTGCTCCTCTAGCTGTTCCAACTCCCAGTCGGTAAGGTCATTCAGTCGTGGGAGATTGCCAAGGTCGATGTTTTCGTTACTCTCGACGTTCTGGTCGCTGTTCGCGCGACCCAAGCCCTGGTTTGATAAACCGTCCATGGTGATCCTTGATGCAAACCTCCCAATGGCGTTACAATGCGACGGGAGGCGGGCTAGTACACCCCGCTCTCAGCCAAACGAGGATGATAGCTGTAGTTATTGATGAGGTCGAGATGGCAGATTGGTGGCGAAGGTTTGGAAGTGATGAAGCAAACGGGGAAAGGATTGGGAGATGGAAGGTGAGGCATAACGGAACAGATTAAAGAGGCCCAACAATGGGAGTCCACAATGGGTAGGTAGGACAATGTGAAGGTATCTCGTACCGAATAAGGCTGCGAGATGGACAAGTTGATTGGCGGTCGAGGTTGAAAAAGGCATCCTTTCTAGTTAGCCCAACTCATTTTCAACCCCCCAGCGAAACTGCGCCCGACGATTTGGCGGAGGGAATATCATGGTGAGTGAGCTCGGGTCGAGATGCTGATGTTGATGTGTTGTTGGAGGTTGAAACATAGTTGAGATGATTTTGAGCCAACGGCGAGGACAATTGAGGGATGAAAACAGGGGAGTCTCAACGGTAAAAGACGTTGTCGGTGTTATTATTGGCAGCCCGTGGTTCGCCCACCTATGCCATTGCCGCCCATACAAAAAGAGGGGTATTAACTACCTACCTAGGTAGGCAAAACCACACAAATGTGTGCAAGATTGGTAGCATTGGGTAACAAGATGACCGAGAGTGTCTTGAGACCTTGTTTTTTTGTATGAGCAACGTTACCTCATGCCGTACAAAGGTACCTTAGCTAACGGTCAACACTCAATGCCAGCATCAGCCCCAAGACGACCAATCGAGAGGCCAAGAAATAGATTGCCCAATACTTGGGTTCCAGCCTATCATTGAACAAATTGACATAGCAGTGGCTGGTCTGATTAGTTTCAGTAGAACAAGAACATCAAATCGAAGCCCATTACTTACACAGTCTTTGATCTTTAATACGTGGGGAAGAAGCGGGCACCAGGTACTTATCGTGGAATCGGGTTGGCTTGCTATTCCGCGGAGTAGAAAGATCGCACTAATTGATATATCAAATCCGGGGAATTATTTGTATATTCGCCAATAAATATAAAGTAACTAAAAGAAATGCCGAACTAGACTACTAAACCGACTAAAAAGCTCCCCCAGACTCTCATTGCTATCTCTAGGGTACCTATTCTTAGAACTAAGGTATGAATGGATGGATGCTAGAAGACATACTCACCCTCTGGCTACCATATACTGGGCAACTGATTATTCAGTTAATAAAAAGTTCGCTAAGCTTATCTCAACCTCCAAAAAAACTTGATTTCGAGGTCTCATATCCTGGGCGTTCCGACAAATCGCCATCATGCTGCTGGTGGATTTTTTGATCCCCCACGAATATGGTAGCAAGACTTGCATTTTACCTCAACTCGTGAAACTTGAGGCGAACATGTCTGTGCTGGCTGTCAGTCACCGGATCACGCATGGAAAAAAAAAAAAGACCTTGAGGAGGAATGGCTCCAGGGCTACAACAGAGCCGCATCCAGCCCTGGATATTCACTATTGGTTATCGTCAATCAATCCATGTAATCAGGCATGACGCCATGAAAAGAAGCCTGTGCGCATACCGAGATCGCGCCCGAGTTAATAATTGCCCAAGATATTACTCTCATAATAAATTTCCATAATAGCATGTCGGTCAAATATTCCCTTTACTCCATAAACCGTAACTGGGCGTGGGCCAACAGATGCCATCCTAGCCCATGGTCTCTAACAGGGCTGAAGTGTTGCCCTTTCCGGCAAGTCTCGGCGCCGGCCACGAGCCTCAACTCCGAGGATCCAGGGCATTAACTTGAAGTTAGGGTTGCATTGACCAACCTGTCTTTGTTAGGAAATAGGCGGCGAGCTTGTTGATCGTGGCATCGACGGCGAAGCCAACCTTGAAGTAAAGCGGATCCAATGAAGCATTGGAGCTTATGCCATGGTGTATGATTTGCTCGTGTTCTCGAAGATCAATGTCAATGCCGCCAACTGATTGATTTGAAGCTATCAACTTCTCGCCACTCGGTGGGATAGATCTGGGCGACTCAATGCTGCCAATTTCCGTAGAAGGAAATATATAGGTAGTTTCTGAACGTCATCGCCTTATATGAATCCCTGCTTGCCCTAATTACAGGATACCCAGGGTGTCTCGTGTAAGAAGACTTCTGATGTTAAATTAAGGTACTAAAAATACCTAGTCTAAGATTATCTAAATCTATACTAAATCTGTACTAAATTATCCCAAGTTTACCTAAGGCTTTTTGTCACTTAGGATAAAGGCCCTAAGTTGTATTGCATCCCCTTGAGGATGTATATCTCATATGAATTCGGAGAGGTATCCGACTGTTGCTCGCATAACTCGCCGTGGCATATGCGCATGCCGAATCGTCCGAATCGACAACTAGTAGACAATGTAACATCCCTCGTAAATCTATTGTTAAAGACAGTTAAAGGGTGTAGGCTATGAGAGTCCCTGAGAAGAGACCAAGACAGCCACCAAGCTTAGCACAAGGGCGTCTTAACCTTGGAGCGTCCCGCGCGGAAGTTGTTTTACAAAGGCCAGAACTGAACTTTTCGATACTGGAAGGAGAATATGGACTATACAGCAAGTGTTGAACTTGTAAGCTGGAGCATGAGTCGTGTTGCAATATCGCCGAGTAGGTAAATGTCGATCATTCTGTGTCGAGGTCTAGCGTCCTGAGGAACAGGATTCGGAGAAGAATACCACGAGCTTTAGACCTTGAGCTCCAACTCCAAAGATGCCTCTATATGTTTAGAATTCAAGTTCAACCGCGAAGCATTCAAGCTCTCAGAGTCTCCAGTACCTGACCCAGCCTTTAGACCAGGCGAATACGTTTCCAAGGTCAAGGTGAAATGTTCCCTCAACCTACCATCACGGTGAAGTCTGTGTAATGTGATCGACGAATCCTTGCACCCTTTCTGAAATTCCCCAGACAATACCCCAGATGTTGAACTTGATTACCCCATGTTTGCGTATTCCCTCATGACAACGTCCCGTCATCGCTCGCATTCTTCATAACTCGACTGCACGGGTGGCGCCGTTGGGAGAAGATAATCGTCACTGCACTGTCTGTGTTTGGCTCAAGGGCGTGGAGAAGAGACTGTCAAAGTACTTGGATTAGGTTTCGGAGCCAAGAGAATTAGAACAGCCACTCTAGTAGTTGAGTAGTTTCGGAAGTTTAGAGAACTGTAGTATTCTTATTAGGTATTATATAAAGTCTGTCATATTCTGATTGAGTCGTGCTTCCTCGTTTCAAACAGTCCCATTAACACTACCTTGTAATCCAACATCCAGCACTCCACATAACCCCTTATTCTTCCATTACTACCTACCTAGTCATGTCTTCCAAAGGTGACAAAATCCTTCATGATGAAGATGAAGGCACTATAGAAGACATAAACATCGTGCCTACGGCAGACCTCCCGACAAGACTCGCAGACAGCGTCGCCTATGGGCCGGGAGGCATCCGAGGCGTTATACAGTCCCCCTTTGTCTTCGGAGCAGCCTTTCTCGCCTCACTAGGCGGCTTCTCTTTTGGATATGACCAAGGCGTTATTTCCATCATCAATGTCATGCCTCAGTTCCATAATGTCTTTCCCAGGGCAGCTTCTGGCTTTGGGAAGGGCTTTATGACTGGTATGCTGGAATTTGGAGCTTTCATAGGCTGTTTCTTCATGCCCTGGATGGCCGATAAGATCTCCCGAAAGAAAGCTCTGGCAGTTGTTGTTGTAATATTCAATATTGGTGGCATACTTCAGACTGCTGCCGTCAACTACGAAATGCTCGTCCTTGGTCGCACAGTTGGTGGAATAGGTGTCGGCACTCTTGCATTGGTAAGTTTCAAATCCATACAGCTTGAAGCACTTGTCTGAGATCTTTGCAGGGCGCTCCTCTTTACATCTCTGAGATCTCACCCCCGAATCTACGAGGTACTCTTCTGGTTCTCGAATCCATATCTATTTGTGCCGGTGTAGTTGTTTCATTTTATATCACTTATGGAACTCGCCACTTGGAGGGCGAGATTGCCTTCCGTCTTCCTCTTGGCCTTCAAATGGTCTCTGCAACAATCGTCGGAGTTGGAATCCTCTTCTTCCCTTACTCACCCAGATGGCTTGCCCTTGTTGGGCGCACAGAAGATACTCTCAGAAATCTATCTCGAATGCGTCGTCTTCCCCCTGACGACTCTAGAGTCCTTACTGAGTATCAAGGAACTATCGCTGAGGCGCAATTCCAGAAAACCGTGCTTGAGCGCCGCCACCCTGGTAAACAGGGCTTCAAGCTTGAAGTCTTGACTTGGTTTGACTTGTTTAGCCCCAAGACATGGCGAAGAACCGCCGTGGGTTGTGGGATCCTCCTATTTCAACAATTCAGCGGAGTCAACGCTTTCATTTACTATGCCCCGACTCTTTTCCAGTCACTTGGTCAGTCTGAGGAGATGTCTCTTACCATGTCTGGTATCTTCAATGTTCTTCAGCTAGTTGCAGTTGGTGTCTGTTTCTTTATCATAGATCGAGTTGGTCGCCGTCCTCTGGCCATCTTCGGTGGTGTTGGAGGTGCTGTTTCGTGGGGAATCATGGCTATTCTTGTTGGCGTCTTCTCCCACGACTGGAAGGCCAATGCAGCAGCTGGTTGGGGATCTGTTTCTATGGCCTTCATATTCATTCTATGTTATGGAGTTTCGTATTCGCCTCTGGGTTGGGCCCTGCCATCGGAAGTTTTCCCCAGTGCAACTCGATCTAAGGGTGTAGCCCTGTCGACTGCAACTTGCTGGATTTGTAACTTTATTGTTGGTGAGTCTTATATAGTCCTTTATTACAAGAGGCGTCTCTAACTCACATATAAAGGTGTCATTACTACTCCTATGCTGGAGTCCATTGGATTTGGTACCTATGTATTTTACGGATCCTGGTGCGCTATGGCGGTAGTCTGGGCATAACTTCCTAGTCCCCGAGACTAAGGGTCGATCTCTAGAGGAGATGGACCAAGTATTTGGTGACAACAGTGGTCAAGAGGAGAAGGAGATTTTGAAAGCAACTGTTGCGCAGGCCCGGAGTGCAGGCAATCCTATTCATCAGGTGTAGTCCGTATGCTACCCTAAAAGGGCACAGTCAATCCAGATTTGGTTCAGATATGAGATTTATGATGATCGCCAATGAAACCTAACAGACTATGCTTTCCTATAATATGAAAAATGCAATGTTTTTATAGCTGGTGAGCACGTAGGGAGCATTGCGCACCTTCACTACCGTCTCGCTATAGTCGAAGCCGCGTATGGAAGTGTTGACCTAGTATCACAATGAAACACTTGCAAAACCACTGGCTATTAACAAGGTATCAATCATTTTCTATAGTTAAACTAAAAATTGTACCTTCCTTACCTCATATCCCATTCTCCATGACCGTAAACATCCCAGTAACCCGAACACCAAAATGCAAATTTATTTTGAATTTAAGCAACCCATTTACGGGCGTTCAAGAAGAGCTGGAACCAAGGACCATATTGTCCCCACTCAGCCAGCTGGCGCTCAGGCTTCCATGAGCCAACGTCGGCCATGATGGTGCGCTCGGGGTGAGGCATCATGGCGACGACACGGCCGTCCCTGCTCTGCACACCTGCGATACCCTGAGGGCTGCCGTTGGGGTTGAAGGGGTATCTCTCTGTAACGGAGCCGTAGTTGTCGACATAGCGGAAGGGAATAAGACCTGAGTCGTTGACGGACTGCAAGTCGTTGGCAGAAGAGAACGCAGCTCGGCCCTCGCCGTGAGAAACGACTATGGGGAACGAGGATCCACTCATACCACGGAAGAAGACAGAGTTCTCGGATTTGTCTTCGATGGTCACCATCGAGTATCGGCCCTCGAACTGGGTGCTGGCGTTTTCGACTGGAAATGGTTAGCTTCCGCCGCCGCGAATACAAGCAGGATGACATACCGAATGTTGGCCAATGCTCGGCTCCGGGGATCAACTCTTTGACTAAAGATTGTTAGTAAGATTGAAGGACTAATGAACGAGGTATGAACTCACGTCGAGTCAGCATCTGACAACCGTTGCAGACACCTAGTGAGAAGGTATCAGGACGCTGGAAGAAAGCCTCAAACGTCTTGCGAGCACCGTCATGCATCAGGATAGACTGGGCCCAACCATTACCAGCACCGAGAACGTCGCTATCGGATGTTAGCATCGCTTCAAGAACAAGCAAATTCCGGCCCAACGCCGATAATGGATTTACTTACCCATACGAGAAACCACCACAGGCAGCAAGACCTCGGAATCCGTCCAGAGAGAAGCCGTCAAGGATATCAGACATGTGAACATCAACAGCGTCAAAGCCAGCAGCCCGGAAGGCAAAGGCCATTTCGGCGTGACCGTTGACACCTTGCTCTCGAAGAATGGCAACTACGTGATGTCAGTATGTACACGATTCATTCAGCACTTTGTGATCTTACCTCTGGGCTTGTATACCAGGCTCTTGATGCTTGTGAGAGCTGGAAGGCTGACATCAGCGGGATCAAACTTGAGCTTGTAGTGTAGACCAGGATCTCTGTTATCTTGAATAGCCTCGAACTCTGACTGAGCACACTCGGGGTTGTCTCGGAGCTTCTGCATCTCGTAAGAAGTGCTGGTCCACCACTGTTGGATCTTGGCACGCTCCATGTCGACAATGGTCTTTGACCTGTACTTGACAAGGAGAGACTGCTTGCTAGTAGGGCGAACATAGCCGATAGTCTTGATAAGACCATGGGGAGGACCACATGTTGCGAAGCACCTCTTGAACTTGATCTCGTCACCTCGGCGGATCTGGAACACAGCTCCCAACTCTTCGTTGAAGAGGGCATCGAGCACCTTGTCCTCAGACTCAGCAAGGTTGTCAAGAGAAATATCAGCGCCACATCGGCCAGCAAACATCATCTCCGCGACAGTTGTGAGCAGGCCACCATCAGATCGATCGTGATATGCGAGGACAATGTTCTCCTGATGAAGCTGCCACAAAGCATCAAAGAAGTCACGGATGATCTGAACATCGCGAACATCAGGAGATTCGTGACCAATCTGACCAAGTGTTTGAGCAAGAGCGGAGCCACCCATGGCGCGGAAGCCCTGAGCAAGGTCAACGAAGACAAGGACAGACTCGCCAACCTCCTCAACACGGCGAAGCTGGGGCGTCCATGTGCTGCGGACATCTTCGACCAAGCTGAAGGCTGAGATAACCAGTGAGACAGGGGCAGTGACAGTCTGGGACTCAGAAGTGTCCTTGTCCTTCCAGGAGGCCTTCATAGACAGAGAGTCCTTCCCGACAGGAATTGAAACACCAAGTTGAGGGCAGAGCTCCATACCGATAGCCTGGACAGCATCGTAGAGAGCAGCACCTTCGCCAGGGTGACCAACAGCGGCCATCCAGTTGGCTGAGAGCTTAACACGCTTGAGATCGCCGTTGACGGGACCAGGCTTGATGTCAGCAGCACCAAGGTTCATCAAACTCTCAACAACAGCCATACGGGCTGATGCGGCAGCCGAGATAAGAGCGAGGTTGGGCTTCTCACCCATAGCCATGGCCTCACCACGTCGCTTCCTGTCATCAAGACTGAAGCTAGTAAGGGTGACGGCGACATCTGCAACCGGAGTCTGCCAAGGACCAACAAGCTGGTCTCGAACAGACAGACCGCCAACAGTACGGTCACCGATAGTGATGAGGAAGTTCTTTGATCCAACAGAGGGAAGATTGAAAACCAACTCTGTAGCTTTAGTGACCAAATCGCCAATGTCAGAGCTGCCGCAGTGCTCGGTGAGACTCTTGACAGCGTCAAAGGGACGAAGGTTCTTCTCAACACGCTGAACATCCTTAGAGATTCGTCGTCCAGGAGGGAAGAGAACATCCATGGGAAGATTAATGGGATCAACGGGAGGCTGAATAGTAGGCTCACGATCAGTGAGAACAAGCTTTGAGACACCACTCTCATCCTTGGTAACGGCAGTTCCGACAACGGAGAAGCCACATCGCTCTCGTCGACAGATACTAGTGAAGCGATTGAGACCATCCTTATTGACGAGAAGAACATATCGTTCCTGAGCCTCGTTACACCAGATCTGAAGAGGAGACATCGAGTTATCGGCGCTCTCAACCTGTCGAAGTTCGAACTTTCCTCCAAACCCAGCGTCCTTCACAAGCTCAGGAAGAGCGTTTGAGAGACCGCCAGCACCAACATCGTGGATAAATGCAATTGGACTTTCTGGTCCAAGGGCGACGCAAGTGTTGATAACCATCTGGGCTCGTCGCTCCATTTCGGGGTTTCCACGCTGAACACTGTCGAAGTCAAGATCCGCTGTGGCATCGCTGCCAGTGTTGGAGGAGGCAGCACCACCACCAAGACCAATCAGCATAGCAGGACCACCCAGGACAATAACATGGGCACCCTCCTCAACATGGCTCTCTTCCTTAAGAGCATGTTGGGGTCGAACGCTACCGATACCACCCGCAATCATGATTGGCTTGTGGTATCCTCTGTACTCTGGAGCATCGGGTCCGGCCTCGTTGGTAAGAAGAGTGCGGAAAGTACCGGTCAAGGCAGGACGACCAAACTCGTTGTTGAAGCGAGCAGAGCCAATTGGGGCCTCCAGCATAATGTCAAGACTGGAGGCGTAGTGAGAAGGGCGTCCAATATCAAGCTCCCATGGCCTCTTGTTGCCGGGAATCAAGAGATCAGAAACCCAGAAACCGGCAAGACCAGCTTTGGGAGAAGAGCCACGTCCAACAGCACCCTCATCTCGGATCTCACCACCGCTTCCGGTTGCGGCACCGGGAAAGGGGGAGATGGCTGTGGGATGGTTATGCGTTTCAACCTTGATGAGAGGCTGGACAACCTCACGGGTGAGCTTCCAGCTTCCGGTGGAATAGTCAGGAGCCCAGTAGTTACCCTCGTCACCGGAAAGGCTATGAGTCAATGTTAGCAAACAAGCCCGAATACTCAATCTCGAACTGGAATTGTATTTATGTAACCAAGACTTACACGGCGGCGTTATCAGAATAGGCGCTGATGACATATTCAGGGTTTAATTTATGGGTATTCTTAATCATGCCAAACAAGCTGTTCTCCTGGCTAACACCGTCAATTGTCCACGAAGCATTAAAGACATGATGCCGGCAGTGCTCAGAGTTGACCTGAGCAAACATGAACAGCTCAACGTCGTTCTACTGAAATCAGTAATTGATTTTCAACGCCGGACTTATGAGTCATACAGGAGATCGACCAAGAGCAGTGTACTGTTTGACCAAGTACTCCATATTAGGTTGGTCGAGACCAAGCCCAGCCTGTTTGTTATGCTCCTGGAGAGCGGCCAAAGGACCGCGCTCATCGGAGAAGATGTCGACGACGACGAGAGGGTTTCGAGCACCATGGGCGAACATGGTATCGAGGGCCGGTGGAGAAAGGCTGAAGAATTCTGTCATGCGATCATGCAGGATGTCCCGGAAACTCAAATCCTCCTCTCCCTTGAAACCATCCTCGAGTTCAATACGGATGACTCGACCTCGTTCGATGCGGTTAACGGTCTTGAGATCGCAGACTAGGGCGATGCTGGTAGCTTTGGAGCTCCATGGGGAAACGTTCCGGGGGCTGACGTAGATATCGATGGAGTTCTTGTTATCGCTGGTTGAGGGAGCATCTGCAGGCTGCTCAATGGCGTCAAGGATCTTCTCAATGCTGCCGAGAACGGCGGCATCCTCAGTCTCGAGGTCGAGGTAGTATTGCCAGGAGCCCGTGAGCTTAGCAACCTTGACGGGACTCTGATCGTTGATGCGCTGCACGAGCTTCTGAACTTCAGAAGCCGTGTAGCACGACTCGCCGATCAAGACGTGGTGCATGGTGAATGGATTTGCGAGTTCAAAGCAAGATACGCCTTGACGCTTGTACGCCGACGTCCTGTAGCAGGAAGAAAAAAGTTTTTGGCGGGGTAGGTGGGATGTCCTGATGCGGGGGTAAAGTTTCTCCGATGATTACGCTGTTGCGCTCTGGTGCCACCTTATCTATAGGCACTGGAGATTAGTGGAGATCTCGTGGAAAGCCTTTTTGAATTCTAGGCATA